TTTTTCCAATTATTGTAACTATTGATGGTTTGTAATAGTTTTAAATTAGGGTTTATTTACTAATTTTGATTTCCGTACTCCCCAGTTTTGGTTATGTATCCCTCTCCCCGAGGTCCTATAATAGCATAGGACTCTATCTTCCTATTTTTACTTTCTGCACTATTAACTTCTAGTAATTAGGTTTTCATGGAAAGACTATAAATGAAAACGATCAGATAACCCTAAATTGAAAGATAAAGAACTGAATCAATTCACTTGCACATATTCACCCTTAGGGTATCTCCCACTTCGGCTGCCTTCGGAAACGGTCACAATTCTCGAAACGTGGGAATTTTTAGTGGTTGTCCTTTAGTTCAAGAGATCACAAGTCCCTCGATGACCCTTTCGACGCTGCCTCGGTTAAAAAGTGATCTTAGAACTTTAGGAAAATTACTAAAAGTTCTTGCCGAGTTGCCTTAGTGACCTTAAACGTCCCTTGGATAGTCCCTCAACATCCAATGACTAGGGCTACCTACTCACTAATAGTAGGATAGCACTATCTAAAGGAAAGGAGGAAAAGAACACCTTTTTCGAGTAGGTAGATAATTGTTAGGTACTTGCTAAAAAAACAAAATTTTCACACTACACTTTCAAAACATTTTTCAAAAACACTTTATTAACACTCTTGAGGACTGATACAACAGTTATCATAAAGCAAACAAACTTTTCAAAACACACAAACACGAAAGCAATTTTCAAAAATGAGCAAGTACCTAAGAGCCCGTAGAAAACAACAGATAGAAAGGGTGCTAACACCTTCCTTTTCCATAATTTACCCCTCTTACTCAGAAAACTCTTGAAAAGGTCGTTTTCTGTTCTTTTCACCCTTTCCTTAGTATGGATAAAAGAAAAGTCGGTGGCGGCTCTTGCTTACCGCAACATTTGCGAATGCAAAATGCAAACCAGTGTTAGTCAGTTCTGCCACTGTATCACAGCAGGTGTCCATGCCCATCTTTTATCCCCGAGTGATTTAAGAGGTAATTCCCCAGTATGGCATAAACTTAGGGCATGTATCCGGAGAGATTCACTTGGTGTTCAATATCCATTCTTTGGAATATTCAGTCCTACCATCCTCTCAACGGTTTATGAGGTATGGAAGTCTAGCCAAATTATCTCTTCCCCAACGATACAACTCATAATTCAGTGGTGTCCTTGAAGACTCGCTTTGTCAGTAATTAAATATTTAGTGGAGTCATTGATAATCTTCGGTATCATGAGCTCCCTATTGTAAATTTCTTACCATTATCCCCAGTAATCCTCGGTACTGCAGGCTTCCAGCGCCGATATGTATTGGCATCCCTAGTGATGAGCAGTAGCTCCCAATGAGCCTTCGCTTATCCCATGAAGTCTATTTCTTTGCATTGCATATAGTTATCATAGCATAACATGGCATCTCCAAAAGCGTGTAGCGGATCCATTAGAATGGATCTTTGTGGCAAAAGAAATTCAAACATGCATACGAAGCATAAGCCATATCAGGTACCTTACACGAAAAACTTGAATTATTCAAGGACAACAGTATGTCCCCTCAAGAGGGTATCATTCCCAAATCCCCAGCTGATGACCTTCACCTTCATAATGCCCAGCTAACGATGCCAATACCTCATCCACCTATCCCCAATAAAATAAATATACCTTGTCATTTTAAACCCAGTTTTTGTATGGTGGCCAGTCCCCGTATGAAAAATAATTCAGTCTTCCAACACTTGTCGTGTCAACTTCTAAACACTCATCGTGTCAACTTCTAAACGCTCGCCGTGTCAACTTCTAAATACTCGTCGTGTCAACTTCCAAACACTCGTACGTGTCAGTTTCCTAAACACTGATCCGTGTCAGTTCCCCAAACACTCGTCCGTGTTTAAACCACTCCTTGATACCCGTCCGTACCTTCTTTGAATACACGTCCGTATTGATTCAAACACTCGTCAGTGTTTAACCTTTCATCTACTCGTCCTTATATTCTTTCAATACCCATCTGTATTGATTCAAACACTCATCCATGTTAGTCCCCTAAATAATCGTCTGTGTTTAACCTTTCTTGATACTCGTCTATATCTTCTTTCGATACTCGTCCGTATCGGTTCAAACACTCGTCCGTGTTTAACCTTTTGATACTCGTCTCTATCTTCTTTCAATTTTCGTTCGTATTGATTCAAACACTCGTCCGTGTTTAACCTTTTGATACTCGTTTGTATCTTCTTTCAAAACTTGTCTGTATTGATTCAAACACTCGTCCATGATTAACCTTTTGATACTCTTCTGTATCTTCTTTCAATACTCGTCTGCACTGATTCAAACACTCGTCTGTGTTTAAACCTTTTGATACTCATCTGTATCTTCTTTCAATACTCGTCTGTATTGATTCAAACACTCGTATGTGTTTAAACCTTTTGATACTAGTCTGTATCTTCTTTCAATACTCATATGTATTGATTCAAACACTCGTCTGTGTTTAACCTTTTGATACTCGTCTATATCTTCCTTCAATACTTGTCTGTATTGATTCAAACACTCTTCCGTGTTTAACCTTTTGATACTCGTCTATATCTTCTTTCAATAACCGTCCGTATTAATTCAAAGAATCATTCGTGTTTAAACCTTTTGATACTCGTCTGTATCTTCTTTCAATACTCGTCTGTATTGATTCAAACACTCGTTCGTGTTTAAACCTTTTGATACTCATATGTATCTTCTTTCAATACTCGTCAGTATTGATTCAAATACTCGTATGGGTTTAACCTTTTGATACTCGTCTGTATCTTCTTTCAATACTTATCCATATTGATTCAAACACTCGTTTGTGTTTAACCTTTTGATACTCGTCTATATCTTCTTTCAATACTCGTCCATATTGATTCAAACATCCGTTTGTGTTTAACCTTTCTTTATACTCGTTTGTATCTTCTTTCGATACTCGTCTGTATTGATTCAAACACTCGTCCGTGTTTAAACCTTTTGATACTCATTTGTATCTTCTTTCAATACTCATATGTATTGATTCAAACACTCGTCTGTGTTTAAACCTTTAGATACTCGTCTGTATACTCTTTCAATACTCATTCGTATTGATTCAAACACTCATCCGTGTTTAACCTTTTGATACTCGTATATATATTACTTCAATACTCGTCTGTATTGATTCAAATACTCATCTGTATCTTCTTTTAATACTCGTTCGTATTGATTCAAACACTCATATGTGTTTAATCTTTTGATACTCGTCTGTATCTTCTTTAAATACTCGTCCGTGTTGATTCAAACACTCATCTGTGTTTAACCTTTTGATACTCGTCTGTATCTTCTTTCAATACTCATCTATATTGATTCAAACACTCGTCTGTGTTTAACCATTTGATACTCGTTTGTATCTTCTTTCAATACTCATCCGTATTGATTCAAACATCCGTGTGTGTTTAACCTTTCTTGATACTCGTCTGTATCTTCTTTCGATACTCATCCGTATTGATTCTACATTCGTCGTGTCCTGATCGACGTCTCCTGCACCCATCATGTCCTGATCGATGTATTCATGTTAGCCATCATGTCTTGATCGATGTCTTCCTTTTGTTTATCGTGTCCTGATAGATACCCCTCTTGCGAATCATCATGTCCTGATCGATGTATTCCTGTCAGACATCGTGTCCTTATCGATGTCTTCCTTTTGGTTATCGTGTCCTGATCGATACCCCTGATGCGAATCATCGTGTCCCCATCGATGTATTCATGTTAGCCACCGTGTCATGATCGATATCGCCCCTTCAATCATCCTGTCCTGATCGGTGTTTTCCTCTCAGTCATTGTGTCCTGATCAATGTACTCTGATGTCGCCGCGTCCTGATCGATGTATACCTTCGGTTTAGTCCCACCCTTTTTAATTCCCCAGTGGATGTTGCAAAAATAAAAACACTTATACTGTCTCTCAGAACAAATTTTTGGCATTAATATTTAATCATCTTCTACCTTGAACTTTCGAAAGGCACGCGCCAATCGTACTTTCAGGTTTAAGACGATTAAATAGGGGAAGCTGTAATACCCCAAATTTGTCCTACCCCTTTTACTTTTTTCTGGCTTACGCATCTCGCATTTTTCTTATGTACATAACCTTCATTAGGTCATTTAACAACGTCATGCATCATTGGCCAATAATTTTGCATGGGATCAATGATATTATGGAATTAGGGTTGTTGTATAGCTTCAAGGCTCTCATCTTCGCACAATCTTGTTTCAATTTATTTCTCCATCGATCATTTGTATGAAGCTAGGTTTTCATTTCATGGACTTTATCACCATCAAGCTATGAGGCTATTCTTTTCTTCTCAATATCAAGTTGCCAGGTTTTATGAGACAAAGCTAAGAATTAGGGTTTACATCTTCTCATACTTGAGCTTGCCAACATTCTAATTGAGGTTCATTCCATATCAAAGTATTCCCATGTCTCAACTTTCATATTCATCTTCAAAGAATCCCTCAGGGTATAGTCATTATGTTAACATTATCTATAAGGAAGGGGTTTTGTCAAAGAGATGTTATGATTAAATAAGAATCATCATTCTTTTGGATATTTGTGCTTGGCATTCAAGTTTGGGTTGGATTGAAAATAATTAAAGGGAATTAATGTTTCATTAGACTAAGTTAGGACTGTGAAGTGTTCATTCAAGTTTTTGATACCAAAGATTCAATTTTGTTCAAGTTTTTCGAAATGGCATCAAAGCTATATGTTTTATTCGTTAAGCATACAAGGTTGGGAGATGTACTTACGGGGTTTCCTTGGAGTTCTAGTAACAAGCCATAAAAAAGGATATCATTCAACTTTGTTTTACAAAACGAGCTCAAAACCTGTGCCTTGACCACACTTGACTTCATATTCTTGACCATTACAATTTACATTTGAGTAATCATATCCTTACAAACCCATGGAAACATTTATAAGAAAGGAATTCATAAAAAAAGGCTTATACTTTCTACCAATCTATACAATGCCTAATCATGTTGTTCCTAATAATAAGCTTCATCATAGCCTTAAAATCATTGCCAAAACTCCATGATTCTTCCTTCAGTGTCATGCCTCTGCCAAGCTTGTTCAAGCCTTTATTCAATTTTCTACCCTGCAACAAAAACTCAGTTCAGGAAAATCGACTAACAAATAAACTGCATCCCTGCAATCTCTTCTTTCAGCTTCATGTTGCACTCGATTCCATGTGCCTCCCTTGCCCAAAATCTGTCCGAAAACAGTGCAAAAACCTGCATAAATATCACCAAGGCAACCCTGCACATATAAAAGAAAACCAATTCATAACCCACCAACTAACTACCTATAACCAAATTTCCACCCATGCCAACTGTCAAAGTTTCTAGCTATTAAAATTTTCCCAAATCAGTAACCAACTCTCTAACCGCATAACAGTCATAATCCCTAACAACTTACTGCAAACTGTGAAAATAACCAGAACGGAAATCTCATAACCAATTTCCCAATAGAACTTCTTCTAACCAATTTGTTACTATCAACTGTAACTAACATTCCCTAACAGTTATAGCAGTCCAAAACAAATTCCTAACCAAAACATTCCAGCATAACAAAAACGCCAACTAACCTGTAACTAACTACTCTACATCCCCAACTAACCTCTAACCTCACCGACAAACAGCCCTGCAAACAGAAATAGCATAATCACTGAAACTAAACAACAGTCAATCCCCTAACCGCTCTTCATACTCACTCACAAACTAATAGCCCATAATAGAATTCCCTAACCACCTCTAACAAATTTACAATAAACTTCCAGCAGCAAAGAAAATAGAAGAGAAGAAGGGGATAATAGAAAGCCAACAGGAGGATAATAGAATTGGAAAGAAGAAAAAAGAAGATTCACGATTCATTTTCACAACACAAATTCAGAGAATACGGAAAACTCAACAAAGAGGGAAACTTCAAAAACTCACCAAGAAAAAGTTCTCATCTCTCAACACTCTTTCTCCATCTTTATCACCATCATCACTCTGCATCAGTTGGCCTCAGAACCGAGGAGCTTTCATTCACCATCTCCACCATGTCTTTAATCTCGGCTTCAACAACTTCACCATCATCATCACCATTACAGTTTTCTGCAATTTCCTCTGCAACTCACAATGAATCAACAACGCATCTTCTTCAACGCTTCACCATGAAGAGCAATAATCCACATCCCCGACCTTTGTGCATTATCGATTGTTTTGATCAACTGCAAACAGAAATAAAATTGATCGAAATCGGTGAGAAGAAGATAAGAAGAAGTCGAATCAGAAATCACATAAGTCATGGTTTGAAGAGTCTACCTGTTATCTTTGACCTCTTTTCTTCGAAGCACCGTCTGATTCAACCATAGCAAGGATATCTAGCGGATAAGCACGACAGGGACAATCGAATAACGGCAGCCTCGTTTTGTTTAACTTAGATCGAGGAAGAGGTTCTTGAAGAGCATCGCGGGTTGAAGAAGACGGTAGAAGAAGGTGGCGTGATTGACGCATTGAAGGAGAAGAGTGGGAAATGGAACTACGATGATGATGGTGAAATCGATTGCGAATCGATGATGTAGACAGAGGACGGCGAAGCAAACAGGGATGGAGGAGATTGAGGTGCTAAACGGAGGCAGTGGCCTTGATGTTGTCACGGAGGCGTTAAGGAATAAGAGGAAGCGAAGGAAATGAGAGTAAGCAGAGAGATCGCGCCACCATGGTTGATGAAGAAGAAAGGTTGTGCCATGGAAGTTGAACAACCATAAACTTCTAAAAACCTATCCACAGTGTATGAAAACGCATGCGTTCTACTATTTTACTTTTAAATTATTCCTTTTTTATTTTTTTCATTTAATTTGACTAACAGATAACAAAAATCTTTGAATTGGATTGTGTTGAGGAGTTACTGGGCAAATTTCAAGCCCTTAGGCCCATTAGTTGTCTTTTGGTGGGGATAGTTAGTGGCCTTGCAAACAAAAGTAGATTTGTGGGCTCAAAAGTTGTATGGGCTTAGCATCTAGAATTCCATTGCTGGGTTATACACCTGCATGCAATTATACCCCCCCCCCCGGTTCATGGTTTTTAGGTTATTCTTTAATTCTCTTTTATCATGTTTTTGCTAATAGAATTAGTGAATTTTAGGAGATAATAAAAAATGCTAATTAGGAACATATTAGAATAAAATTTGATTTATTTTTTTATATTCCTTATGTGAAAAATCCTAGAAAATAGTATAATGTTTTAGATTTCTCTTTAGAATTTTATTGGAATTTTCTATTATTACTTTTATGTTTGGTAATCATTTTTGTTGCCGTTTTAGCCAAGATTTTGTGATAGAATGTCGATGTAACTTTCAAAATGTGGGATGCGTGGAGATTAATTCTTTGATCACTTGTGTGGAGCAACTTCGATAGAGTTTTCTTATCTCTTGCATGGTTTTGAAGAGGCAGCGGACCTTCTTTGTTCGGTATCATCACAACTTCATTTTATTCCTCATTTTCGCACTTTATTTATCGTACTCCTTTACGGATTTTCTAGAAATCATGAGAAGTAGGGATTTACTGCTTTCTGATTCCATGAGAAGTAGAATAGAGATGTATGCATTGTATGGAAAATTAGGGGGTCTCTGTTGCTGATCATGTCAGGTTCCCCTCTGGTTTATTTAAAGACCCGTTTAGGGAAATTCCGCATTGTATGCATTCTGTTTGCTACTTGTGTATGGTTTGTTTAAAACCCTACCTTTGAGTAGGTATTATGTAGGTGTGTTTACATTTTGTGCCTGCATTATTTCCCCATCCATTATTGAAGTCCTCAAAGGAGGCGAGCAGGGAGGGTTAGCAATCAACCCCCACAATTTTGTCTGTGTCATCCTTAGCTCGTGACGCACCACGAAGCTTTGGAGTTATGCCACCTCTTGTGTATCGAGTCGTCAAGTGGCTAAGGGTTCCGCAATCGAACCCCCATGCTTTGTTAGGAGTTTGCATTGGCTAATGCTGATACTTCGTGATTTTTCATATTGTCTTTTGTCGCTTACCTTTATCTCCTATATCTTGGTTAGGTGTTCAGTCGCTTTGGACATCACTTTTTGTTTCTTCATCTCACTCCCGTTTGTTTGTCTCTGGTGATACTCCCCCCTTGGATAAAGCATTTCTCTTCCTTTCCGTTCTCTTTTATGTGTGTGCTTCTTCGAGCTTGTTTGCTTTACCCTTGTACATACCATGTTCCCTTAGGATGTGCTTGCTCCGTTCGGATGCAAGTTAGACCTTAGGTTGAAAACCATGCATGCTAACATTAGGTAGACATTTCCCTTATGTTAATCCAAACCTTAGGACTACCATTTTATGATAACATTAGGTTAGAAATAGGATAGTCTCCCTTAGACTCTTTTCTTCCCTTTTTGCATCCTTGCATTTAAAACTAAAACCCATTTTCTTAGAAAATCAAAAACATTCAAATAACACTTAAACCCTTTTTCAAGGTAACAAAATACAAACCAACTCAAACCATTTTGTCTGCCCAAGCACCTTTTCTCTAAAACCCTTTTCAGGTAAGGACATGATTAATTTACTTTTGTGCCAACGCATAAGTCTCCAAAGGTCGAGCTACGGCAGAAGGCGGAATTAACATTGTCCATAAAAAACACAAAACAAACAAAACATGTGAGCCGAACTACGGTAGCTCTGATTCCTCAAAAAGGATATGTAGGCATTGGGGTAGGGCCCAAGCGAGTACAACTTTATTTTCCCTACAATATTGTCTTCTTTCTTTTGCATGCATTCTTCTCAGTAATAAATAGTAAGCATATATTAAACACACCCATAAGATAGACAACAAGAGTGGATACCGTAGAGTACTACAGGCGTGTGGGGTGCTAATACCTTCCCCTCATGTAACAAACTCCCATACCCGATCTCTTGGTCACAAGACCGTGATTTCTCCCTTCTCAGGTTTTCTCGATGTTTACCTTTCCCTTCATGTGGGATAAAAGACGTTCGATGGCGACTTCATTGTTTGATGATTTTTAGCTGGTTGTTTCACCCTGGTATACTAACGCCTTTGCAAACACACTCCTATCACTCGGACGGCCTTTACATTCGGTTATGTAAATAAAATAATAACAATAAATATACAAAACAATTTTAATGGTCGGAGAGGCGCCGGAGCCCTAGCTCCAGCCATCTTCTCCAGCGACTTGTAAATGAAAACCTACGAAAATCAAGTGTTAGTGATCCAAAACATCATGTCCCCCCTAATTCGACCCTCTTGGACCTAAATTTGGACTTAATTTAGGCAAAAAGTGCTTGTATATATAGAGAGGAAGGAGTAGGGTGAACAAATATGGCAAGAAGACAAAGTAATCATGGGCATGAGACAAGAAACCAACACATTTAAAAACTTCCATTTTTGATAAGTCCTTTCCATTTTGAAGCTCACACGGATTTGACATGGTTGTAATGAGTTGTCTTGAGCCTGAATTGATCCAAGAAAGCAAGCCCACATGCCTTATAACATTGCCTCATATTTTATTTATTTTAATTTCATTTAAATGAATAAAAATTCAAATAAAGGAAATAAAAATCATAAAAAAATATGTTCATAGATTTAAAAAGGTCTTCTAACACATTATGAACATGTTTGAACATCAAAAGTTAGGCCCACTAGTTCAAAATTTCAAGTTTGCTCACTTTGCACTTCATGCATTTTCTCAAAATATCCCAACTTGCACTGATCATAACTCTCTCAATTTTTATCTTTTGAATATGATCTTGGACTTTTTAGAACGCTCAAGATGTCCCTTTCCATTTCTCTTTTGATCATTTTTGCATTTAGAGATTTATGTTGATGTAAGTTGCCTTGATAAAAAGTGTCTTTTTGTTGACTTTTGAAATGACCTATAATGTATGGGTTCATATCTCTCAAATGAAGCACTTTTTGGACTCGAGCATAAAAAATTCAAAGTTGTATAGAATTGAATTTCCTTCAAAATGGGCTTTTTTTGGGGAAAAGTTGATGAAGCATGTGAAAGTTATGTTTGGTCAAAGTTCATTTGACTTCTCCTAAGGAAACCCTAATTTGGCAACTTTTGACTTTTGATGATTTGAGGGCTTTCCTTGAGGAATCATGATCAACCTTTGATCAAATGATGAATATCACTTCAAAATGTTTACGTTAACCAAAAATCTTGAAGTTTGAATGTATGTTGACCATAATTGAATTTTTACCGAATATAGTTGATTTTCAATCATCTGAGCCTTTGACTGAGCAAACTTGTAATGCAAGACTTGAAACTTGACATGAACATTGTTAAAGACCTATGGAGAACCATGGAAACCACTTAAGACATTTGCAACTCAGACTTCCTTGATAATCTCAAAACCCTAGTTGTAGACCCATTGCTTAGAAGGAGGTTTGACTGGTCAACCCTTGAGTAGCCTTGAATACTTGAGAACCCTTGAAGAATGTCTTGAAGAAAATGGTAGGGAAAATTTTGGGGTAAAACAGCTGCCTAGTTAAATATTCTTAAACCTGAAGAGTTAGATTGGCATGTCCGCCATTCGTGACTTGAAGGTAGAAGATGATTGAACACTTAAGTGCCCAGAAATTTGCACTCGCACATGCACAAAGTAACATTGTTGGTTGATTATACCGGAAATGGGCTTAAAGATGCCATTTAGAGAGGTGACGATGAGTCATCAGAGATGGGCTTATAGATTCCATCCAGGATAACTGTTGATAAGAAAATCAGATTAAGTCTACGGCCGACTTTATCTTAGAAGATGTATTTGGAACGAGTCTATGCCTGACTTTGTCCAAAAGAATAATCAGAATAAATCTACACACAATTTTATCTGAACTAGAAGATGTCTATGCCCGACTTCAACTAGGAGGGGTACCGGAAAGAGTATATGCTTGACTTTTCCAAAAAGAGTATCAGAAAGAAATCTATGCCTGATTTCATCAGAACTAGAGGATGTCTACGCCCGACTTCAACTACGAGAGGTACCAAAAAGAGTCTACACTTGACTTTTCCAAACAAATTATCAGAAAGAAATCTATGCCCGATTTCATCCGAACTAGAAAATGTTTATGCCCGACTTCAACTAGGAGAGGTACCAAAAAGATTCTACACTTGGCTTTTCCAAAAATAGTATCAGAAAGAAATCTACGCATCATTTCATCTGAACTAGAAGATGTCTACGCCCGACTTCAACTAGAAAAGATACCGAAAATAGTATACGCTTGACTTTTCCAAAAAGAGTATCAGAAAGAAATATACACCTAATTTCATCTGAACTAGAAGATGTCTATGCCCGACTTCAACTAGAAAAGGTACCGGGAAGAGTCTACGCTTAACTTTTCCAAAAAGAGTATCAGAAATAAATCTATGCCCGATTTCATCCGAAATAGAAGATGTCTACGCCCGACTTTAACTAGAAATGGTACTGGAAAGAGCCTACGCTTGAATTTTCCAAAAAGAGTATCAAAAAGAAATATACTCCCGATTTCATCCAAACTAGAATATGTCTATGCCCGACTTAAACTATAATAGGTGCCAAAAAGAGTCTACGCTTGACCTTTTCCAAAAAGAGTATTAGAAACAAATCTACGTTCGATTTCATCCGAACTAGAAAATGTCTACGCCCGACTTCAACTAGAAATAGTGATCTTTTAGTATGACCTTCTAGGGAAAGTTCTTAAGTAGCTATTTGTCAGATATAGCCTCTGAGGAATCTGCCTTTAGATTTTTACCTGAAAAGATAAAGAGTTAAGTGTATGC